AATATAAACAAAAATGCGGACTTACTCTGCTCTGCTTTAAGATTTAGCTATAGCCGCTTTTGTTCCATCTCCGCCAGAAAACTTTTCCTCAAAAGTTGAATAGTTTCTTGTAAAATGTCTCTCAGCTTTCCGCTGTTTTACAAGGCTGAAGTCGCTTCTCATTCGCCAGCTTCTTGCTGAACTTTCCGGTTCCACCTTAAATTCTGACAGAGGCGCCGAATGTAAAAGCGGCACCATTTAAGGTGGAACGGGAAAATTAGAGAAGCGACTTCATCTTCGCATCTTTTAGTTTTTGACAGTGTTTGACAGTCTCTCGTTGCAGATTTAACGTACCAGGAAACCAACTGTGCTGCTTATAAATGAGAATAAGTCCATTCGTCTCCAAATGTTCGTCTGTCTTTCTCTTTTCCTTTTTCGTTCGCTACCAGCTCGGCGAAACCTCGTTGCTAGGTGACCTGCGGTCTTTGCCCCCCCACCCCCCCCATCCAGTGGTCATCCGTTACCACTTATCTTATTTCACCGTAACAGCGCATTTTATTATTATCATTTATTTTATCACAGATAAGTGGCAGCAGCGTCTCCAAACAAGAGCAGTGAATGAGAGCCTTCCAGTTCACTTGCCACATCACTTCCACTTGTTTTATTAATAAAAGATATTGGATGTAAATGCATTATGGATCATTACAAATACTTTGTTTTAAAACTACAAAGTCCTCAGACAGTAAGAAAATAGAAATCATGTATAGAAAAAAAAGATGCATCGAGATGCATCGATAATCGTTTTATAATCGCATCGCAGCCCTCTGAATCGTAATCGAATCGAGAGGTGCCTAGAGATTCCCACCCCTAATATATATATATATATATATATATGTATATATATATATATAAAACGTATCTTTTTTTGATGTACCATGATCAGATTTTTGCCATCTCGCCCACCTCCATACTTCAATATTTCCTCTACTGACAGTTCAGCACTAAAAGTTTTTATCTTGCTGTTGCCCCTTTAGTGGGTTTATGTTTGACTACAAGTAAGGCAATTTTAATTTACAATCACAGCCACGTGAGCCTATTTCAGAACAAATTGACAGTTGTTCTGTAGCTCTGGAACTCAGTAAAATCATTTAAGGTCTGTATAGCAGGTCATCATGTGACACTCACGTATGACGAGGCTTCAGCCTTTGGTCACTGCATGGAATGACTGCCACCAATTGAGCCTCCTGACCTGAAGAGATTACATCAGAAATGTAGAGCAGACACTACATGAGTGAACGGTGATACAAAAAGATACAAGATGGAAAAAACAGAAACTAGACAAAAAAAATAAACAAATAACCATCCAACTCCTCTTAGGTAATTTACTGCATTGTGAGAACATCTATAAGTTTATAAAGAAAATACGTTTACAGGAACATGCAATTTCAAGCTGTCAGTTTTACACAGGCTAGACATAAAATACAAACAAAAACAGAAAACGGTAGGGGTACAGTAAATGAGAGTTCTCATTCTTTGTCTACAGCTGTACTACAAAAAAGCTTTTTAATTCTAAGAGTGCCCTGGAAATTCACTTTTCGTACATACCCCTGGGTATTCGTCCTGTCCCCTGGCAAGTAGGGCATGGATCCCACTGGCCTTCCCCATTGATACTGCCATAGTCCAGCCACTTGGAGAGCCTCCGTTTCCCTTTTTCTTTGTTTTCGTTCATGATATTTGCTCTGCTTAGTGAAGGGAACCGGGCTAGTTTCACCATAACTCAGAAAGCGCTGGTCTAATCAGAAAAAAAGAGAGAGAACTAAACTTAGAGGGATCTATCTGAAAGGTGCAAATGACAGCAAGCCACCAAGCCAAGCTACTTCCTGGTGCTTCTTTCCAGAGGCAGCTTTCTAGTCATGCAACATAACAACATACAATTTATTAATGTAGCCTTCAACCATGTGCAAAGTGGTCACAAGTGCCAGATGGAGCAAACTCTAGACACGTTCAATGGCATTAATGGCAATGACATAATAGAGGCACAAAATCTGTCCACTTAGGCTAAATCTACCGTCATTGCTCAAATGATTCCTTTTCAATGAAGTCACACCAGCACTGAGGTATTAGTGCTAAAGGTTTCAGTTCTCCAGAAACACCCCAAAGTCTGAGTGTGATTTCGCTTTGAGTGTAATCATAGATCCAGGCACAGGCCTTGTTTGTGCTGTTTGGCAGTAAGGACCAAAGCTAACGCCAGGCTGCCATGGTACGAGCTGCTGCTACCAGCCCACTGACCATTTGCTCATCTGTGTTTTTGTTTATCATCTCAAAGCTCAAAGCAGAGGCACACTGGACAGAGATGGACCTACCTCTGTAAATACGAGAACCATTTACAGACGTCTATACACAACATGTAAGTATTTTAAAGAAGTAAACAAAGACTTAATATACGACGTGTGTAACCACAGATATGTTTATCTCGCGTTTTGATAAGCAAAGTTAGACATTATTATCGACATGTCAGATGCGTACGAAGGTATCAAACCTACCGTGACATCCTTTTGGCCTTATTCTCTAAGCCTTCAGGTTTAATTCTGGTCACATATGTAAAACAATTCTTCTTGTCCTTCACAGCAAAAAGACCAATCTTACTTCCCAAGCGCGTGGACTCCTAGTGCCCAATCACTTCCTTCTTTGCAGAGGACTAATTAGTAAGCCTTGAGCTGCCACCCAGTGGCCAAACCCAGTATTACAGCTCTAAAGGCAGTGGCCAAACGCAGTATCACAGCTTTCTCAGCAGCGGCTACACTCAGTATTGCAGCTCCAACGGCGGTGGCTACAGTTAGTATTACAGCTCTAAAGGCAGTAGCCACACTCAGTATTACAGCTACAAAGGCACTGGCTATCAGAATTACAGCTCTAAAGACAGTGGCCACAGACAGAATTACAGCTCTAAAGGCAGTAGCAACAGTCAGTATTACAGTTTTTAAGGCAGTGGCTACAGTCAGTATTATGGCTCTTAAGGCAGTAGCCACACTCAGTATTACAGCTATAAAGGCAGTGACTACAGTCAGAATGACAGCCCTAAATGCAATAGCCACACTCAGTATTACAGCTTTAAAGGCACTGGCTATCAGAATTACAGCTCTAAAGGCAATGGCCACAGTCAAGTTTTAGAGCTCTAAAGACAGTGGCCACAGTCAGAATTACAGCTCTAAAGGCAGTAGCAATAGTCAGTATTACAGTTTTAAAGGTAGTGGCTACAGTCAGTATTATGGCTCTTAAGGCTGTGGCCACAGTCTGCATTACAGCTGTAAAGACACTGGCCACAGTCAGATTTACAGCTCTACAGGCAGTGGCCACAGTTGGTAATGCAGCTCTAAAGGCAGTAGTCACACTCAGTATTACAGCTCTAAAGGCAGTGGCTATCAGAATTACAGCTCTAAAGGCATTGGCCACAGTCAGTATTAGAGCTCTTAAGACAGTGGCCACAGTCAATATGATCATTCTGTCTACAGTCACATTCAGTATTACAGCTCACTCCACAGAGTCAAATAACTCTTTGGTTTTTACCCTGAGGCACTGTTGATGAAACAAAGCAGTAAAACCTGTTCTTTTTCAACAGAATGTAAAACAAAAATTGCACATAATGAATGCTATATATGCCCTGTTGACACAACATACCGGGTTGTTTTCTTCTCTGAAGATTTTCTGGTTGAAGTGCACGAAAAGCATGCAAAACAGCATCTGAACTGCTAACAACGCAGTAATGTGTATGTGCCTCAAGTCCAGAACAAAAACAGGACGAAAGTCCATTTCCGGTCTACCAAAATGAGGAAGCTGACTAAAGGGGAAAATAGACTTGACTCAGCAATGACTTTTTGTAATAAGATGCTAATCACCTCCCAATGTAGCATGGTGTCATGCACTAACAATTCGACTTCAGAAAATAATGTGTGCTTATAAATAACATTAATACATCTTATGTAAACATGAGCATGAAAACATTTTTTTAATTACATTAGCTAAAACAGACAGTTGTATGCAAAAGTTTGCATATAGCATGTTTAAGATCAACCCTCTAAATTTTTAATGATGTTTAAGTCAAGAGATGGTGAGGGCCATTTCAAACGCTTCAACTTTTATTTCTTGAAGTAATTCATGGTGGATTTGGAGGTATGCTCTAGGTCAATGTCCTGCTGCAGAAGCCAGCTTTTTACAGTGTCAGATTATTGACCTTGTCATATTTGCTTTCAGAATTTGTTGATATTTACTGGAATCCATTCTTTCATCTACCCATGGAAAGTTTCCTGTGCCACTGGTTGCCACACAAGCCCAAAGCTTAAGAGATGCACCACCATAATTAACAATTGGCAAGGTGTTCTTTTCATCAAATACTGCTCCTTTTTTTCTCCAAACATACCTTCAGCAACTATGGCCAAAGATGGGGTTTCTGCTTTGCCTTTCTGTCTAGAATACGAGCAGTTCTATCTGAAAGTTTTCTTTGTCTTCCAGATCTTGCCTTGACTTTCACAGTTCCCCTTAACTGCCATTTCGGGCAGTTAAAATTGCACACTGGAAGTACTTTGTCATTTTTTAAATTTCACCTGCCTTAGCTCTATTTTCATATCATCTTCTTGATGAATGTTAGAACAATGTTTGACAAGAGTATATTACACTCTGGAATTGTCATCAGCTGATTAGGCAGGCTAATTAGTCCAAACAATTCAATTAAGGCCTAAGGAGATCTGCGACTTTACAAATGAAAGGATGTCCAAACATTTTCACGATACAATTACTTTTTTTCACATTCTTTGAGTTTATCAAATATAATGTAACTGTGCATTATCATTTGGAGAAATATATTATTTTTTAAAATAGTTTGCTGCAGGGGCTGTGTTTACTTTTAATTCAACCATCAAAAATATGTAATTTTGCCAGGGGTTCCCAAACTTATCTACAGATATCTAACTTTATCTGTTATGAATGCAACCACAGTGGGCCAAAAAGGGAATCACTCCAGAAGCTATTTATATGGAATGTTTTATTTGTTGTACTGGACATCAAGAGCCACGTTCACTTAAGCCATTAGCTCCATGATCACGTTGTTAGTACATAGAGGACAACCAACAATTGGTGCCTAGCAAAACCTTGACCAATCACTGGCTATATTAAGCATGATTCAAAAAGTCATTGCACATTCCTATAGGTTCAGAAAAACCAACACCTTAGTGTCACATGGTTGAACATTACGGCAATTAATGTGATTCAGAATAAGATTATAGAGGTCACGGTGACAAAGAGCAATCGACATACTGAAGGTGTTCTTACATATCTTACATCAGACTTTCAAATGTGAACAGCCATACCAACCAATGAATACCCTCATGGCGATCTCTCTCTCTAGCCTTTGCATCTTATCATCTTCGCGGAGCACATTAAAGGTGCTAATAAAACAGTTTTTCTGTGTTAGAACATTACTATGCTTGAAGAAAAATAGATAGATCAGACAAATAAACCCATTATTTAGCTTTCCCATTGATAATGTTCTAAAACATAACAGAAAATAATACAATCGAGTGATCACTCTGCTGATCCTACTGTCTGTTGAGTGTGGCATCAGTGCTCTTTTTAAAGAGTCCAAACTGTGCCGACAATACGTCACAAACCCCTGACATCATTCATCTAATGTTCGAAGAGAGTGAACTTTAATATATTACAGACAACTTCCTATATCAATGTCATCGAGGTTACTATTGTTATGGAAAAGGCTGTCATGGTGCTCTTCAGTGTCTTGCTGTGTACCACTCGTTGTCTGTCATCTGCACCAGCTCATTGACCACATCCAGCAGGTTGTACTGATGCTTCTTTAGCAGTCTCTGGTTTAGCAGCTTATCACTGAAGCCCATTTCCTGTAGCACAGCTATCATCGAGGCTTCTTCACATGCTGGGTCTGCACTGGGTCGCTGAAGTGATGAAAAAAAAAAAGAAAGAAAACACGTCAAAAGTCAATCTCAAGTATAGCTCAGAGTCCCACACCACCTGTGCTGACAAGAAAATTATTAAAAAAAAACAAAAAAAAACAAACAACAACTGAAAAACACAAAGCTTTGACTCAAGTAATGATCTAAATGCCATGTCAAAATCCTACCTATTTACAGTTCTGGCCACCAATATTGGCACCCTTTTCTTTTTTATATAAAACGTACAATATCTTCATAAATAAATAGAAACATACCTACTTTTATCACGACTGTACATTACATACTTAAAATTCAGGGGTGCCAATAATGGTAGCTAGAACTGTATATACTTTGTCTCTCTTATGGACTATTGCTATAGTTGATAGGATTTTTCTTCAGTGTTGTTTATGACAGCGTAGGAGTAACATGACTCACAGCTATTTGTCAGCATGCCCTGCTTATTTATTATAACATAATTATTCCTGGACATGTGGGCTGAAATAAGGGTCAAGTGAAATCAGGAGCAAATGAGTCATGCTACTCTGAGCGTCAGCACCTGTGTAGAGCCGCTCTGGCCCGTGAAGAGAGCTTTGTAAGCAGATGCTGCCACTGAGAGCGCCCCCTTCACCAGTCCTTCAGTTAGGCCACCACGATGCAGTCTGCAAGAAAAAAAGAACAAAAAGAACTACTGAAAGGTTATCAAGTTACATCCTTTCACATTACAAAAAAAATGAGAAAAGTCTAGCAGCATCTCGCTTTTTAAAATAAATAAATAAATGACAACTTTTGGTTGTAAACGAAAGAGAGCTTAGGCCTGTTCTGCAGAGTTTTGGTCAACCACAGGAACAGCACCACATGTGTCTACAGACACATTCTTCTCACCCTTTCTTTTCTTTGTTTTGTCTTTACATGCCATAAGGACTGTTAGTACCACAGCACTCTACAATATTTATCATGCAAAATTACATTAATAGACAAAGTTTACTAAAATGAAATGTTTTAAAACCAGCATTTAAAGAAGTTACATGAGCAAAATGAAAATGAAAAGTAAGTCATATTCATTGAAGTCGGACAAATTTGATATGAGCATCAGGCCAGAAAGGACTTCAAGAGCCATTTTACATATCCTAAATAAATGTAACAGGTTTATTATGAATATAACAATATTTAAACAAAAAGCAACTGAATAAAGTTTAGACATAAGTGATTAAATTGAAATTTAAATATACGTTTGATATTTAAATTTCAATTTAATCACTTATGTCTAAACTTTATTCAGTTGCTTTTTGTTTAAATATTTTTTAAATAAATCTTAGGACCCATCTCTTGCATTTTCTTGTATTACATTTTCTCCCCTGAGGTCCACTTATGACACTTGTGTGGGTTTAGGTGCCAAAAAGATCATCTTTACATGACTATTTTCCAACCTCTCTTTATTACTGTTTTTCTTACTTTCAAAGTACTATTTGGATGAGATTAGTTTTGCATGAGGAAGTGAGGTAATATAACTGTTAATGGTGTTTCTCAGTCATTTTAGTCCTGTTTGAATCCACCATGTCAGTTATTTTATGAGTTGCGCACTCCCGCATCAGTAAAGCATCTTTACCTACTATAAAACAAACCGCACAAATAATCCCAGGTTAAATTACTACTGGGAAAATTGCCATGTCTGTAAACACAGCATTACATTTTTTGCATTTTTTCTTAAGTACTTTTTATTTTTACCATGTTTTAAGTACTAAAACATGATAAAAATGTTTTATACATTGATGTTAATAATAATGCTAATGACTGCATTCACTTAAGACAGCTAAATTACATAGCTACTCCCATCTCTGTACTTTTTACCAAGATTTCTTGTCCCATGCAATCTGTCACAATCTTTACAGACTTCCTGTGGCAAAAGTACTTTTTCCTAGTGCCTCATGTAAAACTAATCCAGCCCAAATAGTACTTAAGATTGATATATGTAACTGATCTGTGTTATGATTGTCTGCTTTATTCAAAAAGCAGTCTAGACTGAAACACTCCTTATAACTTCAACATGAATAGGCGGGACTAAACTGGTATGGACTGAGTAGGTTATATGTTAATGCTGGCTGTCGTGAGAAAAACAGAATTCAAAACCAGCTGTTCTTGCAGTTTAGTTTCCACATGTGGACCATACAGACATATGTGTTAACAAAATGGTTAAAAGTTTTGACAACATTTTCATACTACATCAAACTCTTAGTTTAAAAAGCAAGGGAAATTGGTTCCTACATGATATCAGTTTATAATGCACACCTGGGATAGGGGCCAACATACATTATTAAAAGACACAGTAGTGAAGAATCTTTACCTGGGATCCTCAGAGCTGCATGTGTCAAACGCACTGGCAGGGGCCTCAATATGTGTTGTGATCCCTGAGACACCACATATACAATACCATTCAAAAAGGATTTAGAATCATGTCAGAATAATACGACAGATTGAAGCAGACACACGTTTTTATTTTAATTTATTTTCAAGCAGCATAACACAAGATGCAGCTCCTGATAAAATATTTCTTAAACCTTTCTGGTTCTATCAGATATCTCACCATTTGAGTTGTCCTCAGGTGGACATGAGCTGTTCTCCTGAGATCCCTGTGGTCTACTCTCAGTCTCATAAGGTTTTATGGACCTGAGAAAAGAAAGCAACTTAAACAAACAATGATCTACGCTTTCATATTTTATACCACTCACAGTAGTAAACTGGCATTTACAGTAGTTCATTCTACATCATGTACACAGTAATGCTATAAGCCAGTATGCTTATTTTTTTTCAGGGTTCTGACCTGTGAGTACGGAGGGTTGGGGGTGGTGACAGAGAGAGAGGTGCAGGTACAACCTCAGGAATGAGCGCAGGGGTGTTCAGTACTTGAGAGGTGCACAGCAGTCTGTTTACACTGCTTTGGATGGAGGCTGTTGGTTCTGAAGTCTCTCCTTCTGCAGTGGTTTGGTCCAGTGCTCCTTCAGGCTCTGCAGTGCAGGCAGTCCCAGGCTGAGACATGGCTGAGCTGTACATGGAATCTGCCAGAGGTTTGGAGGTATCGAAGCAGTCTGGCAAGACGACAATGTATTCTTCAGAGGAGGCAGAGGATGCCTGGCTGCTCACTTCATCCCACTCCCCAGCTTCTTCTTCTTTATTCTGGTCCTCATTTTTCCCTTCCTCTTCATCCAGTGCAGCAGGATCAGTGTAAAGGTTTTCATTAGAACCAATCAGCACATCTGAAAAGACTGCATATCAAACAACAGAGCTTCAGTAACTCTGAAAAGTAGCATAAAGACTAAAATACATTAATATAAAAACTGAAATAAACTAAATGACAAACTCCACAAAAACCAAGAATCGTGATAATTGTGATAAGAAATAGCTAAGAAAATAAGAATTATTATACAGTTAAATAGACTAAAATATTCTTTTAAATATTCATTTTAAATAGAATAGTAAATGTTTTAAAAATACATGGAATGTTCATGTTACAGAATGACACGAACTGTGATCAATACTATACCTGTGAAGACGGGGTCACTGGGTCGCCATGCACTTTCTCACACACTCACACACACATATATACATATACTAGTGGAAACTAGGGAATGGAATGATAACTTTTGCAGACTGAAATATACGTTTAAAAATACACAGACACACTGTGTCATTCATGCAAAGCACCAAAAGCCAATAGCACCCTCTTGTGGAGGATCTTCAGTCAACGTGTGAGTGAATGAGTGCGTGACAAGCGACCTCAACGAGATGCTTAAATTAAAATAAATTCACGGAATGTTCATGTTATGGAATGCAAAAGCTTTTCACCTGGGGTAACAGGCTCTTCCAGTATAGCTGGTGGTTGGATAGGGGGAGGAGCTTCTGGCCTCTTAATGACTGACAAGAAAGGTCTGTCAATCCTCTCCATTAAAGATCTCTCATTAAAGTGAGCAGGGTCATGAACTGTCAGAGGGTCAGAACATCAGACACATGCTTTCCTATTTTGAATACTGAGCAAAAAGGGATGTTCATTAAAAATGTTTTTGAAAATAAAAGTAAAAAGAATATGACTGCTAAAAGTAAGGTGTGTGAGCATTTACAGGCACCCTCACCCTCAGGTCTGCTGTGGCTGGCTCGAGCCCGTCGCCGAGGTTTGTGCTCAGGCTCTTCCTCTAGAGTGAGGGACCTAATCACAGTTTCACATACAAACTGAGTCCCGCTGATGTCATCGTCACCCTCTTCATGGGCCTGAGCATCTGTGTTCTCCACATGTCTCTGGGGCTGCACCACTGCACACAACACACAGGATGTGAATTTGCCAAGTCTATTTCTATCTATAGTCCTTCTGTAAGTCACGTAAAAGCAAGGAAACCAATCACATGCTGAGTGCAATACAGACTACCTCTTGCTGACTACAGCAGAGCTAACTGAAGCTAAAATTAAGTAACAACTTTGGTCACTTTTTAACCATGTAATGCTATTCTTACCTTGGAGTTTTTTCAGCCCTGTGTGTTTATTGTCCTCTTTTAATAGGCCCATACCATGCTTTCCAAACACAGGTCCATAATGAGGGACTGGGGACATGCATGGGGTCATATCTGCAGGGATAAAAAAATTAAAATGTGCTTATCAAAATATTTTCAGGCGATTGTACACAAGGCAAAGTGGTGTGGTATGTTACAGTATCTAATCTGAATCCAGAGCTATTTGTATCCTGGATGAGTACCTGTCAGTGTCCTATCGTACAACAGAACCCATCAAAATAAGTTGTGTGGTGGTCATGATTTCTCACATGACACTGAAGAGTAGAGACAATGGAGGAGCTTCAAGTTCTGATTTACCCTTTACTCAGAAATGACAAGACAATTCTGGGATTATTGTGTCGACCAATCAATAGTCTGCGCTAGGCCGGTCACAATCATGAAAATTTAACTGTTGAATAAATTCCATATAAATATTTGTGATTAACAATTTAATGGTCTTTTTTTGCTAAATGAATGCAACTAATAAGATAAAAGTCTTAAGTGGCCAAATTAGCTGATTAGCTATCTTGCTTGCAGTTACTTATAAGATCTCAACCAATGTCCACTACATGATTAATTCTTATGATATTCACTTTGTCTTGAATGTATGTACAAATTTTGTCATTATATGCTGTTACCTGCATCTCCTTGTACAGTCATGATTGCACTGCCTTCTTCATCTCAGGTTATAGATCTTTTTGCAGATTTTTGTACATTTCTATTTGTATATATGCCTTTAGATAGGTTTTTTATGTTTATTCTTTCTTTTATATTGTTTCACCTTTATTATTATTACTGTCCTGTGTTGTGTGACTGCTACAGGCTGCTTAATTTCCTTCAGGATCAATGAAGTATCTATCTATCTATCCATCTATCTACCTATTTATCTATCTATCCATCTATCTTTTTATCTGCCATTTATACCACTTATATCTAACATTTCATTTAACAAATTATGTAATTTGCTTTAGTTAAACATTCTATAATACACAGGCTTTTTTGGTAGGAATAGGCTTAAAACAAAAGCCCAATCACAAGCCAAAAAACTGGCGAAAGTAAACAAATGCACATGCTTTTAACAAGATCCTCCTTATCATTTGTGCAGCAAAATGGACAACAAAAGACTAATTTATGTTGTGTTGTCTAAATTGGTAGAACTTTGTAGAAGTTGGTGAGAATTGCCAGTGTAGGTCAGCTGAACAGTTCTGCAGGACAAACGCTGTGTTTGAATGGCTTTTGTGTGTGAGCTGTAGCAGTCATGATGCAGCATCACTGATTTCAAGTAGAGGTAGTCAGTGTGAGGGGGAAAAAAAACAAAAAAATACTGGCGGATAGGATGGAACAGTATTGGGGCGATTTCGGAGAGATAAAGAACACAGACACTCTAACTACCTGAAAAGCCGCTCTATGTTTTGGCCAAAATCATGCCGCCCCGCTCCCACTATGCACCACTCACTTACTATGCTCCCAACTGATAACAGACAAAAAAAAGATTACTCACTGCTGCCCTCTAAAGGTGTTCTGTACCCATCAGAAACTAGACAGTTTTTTGGTTTTCTTAAGACAAATGATACAACTTAATAAATGTGTTGTCTGCTACACGGATTTGCTTTGACCCAATGGATGAAAACACCCACAGTTCACATTCTGTTTGTTGCGCCTTAAACATATAACTGTGAAAGCTAACAATTACGAAAAATAACAGCGGTCAACTCAATTACAGACATGTGATTACATAATAACTGTGGCAGGCCTAGTGTGCTCTATTTCTGGTTCCACCCATACGTCCCAGTACACTTGATCTCCCAACATAAAGAGTAATTAAATTCAACAGTGTACTCAGGTGGCAAGGGTTCACATGGCAGAGGAAATGACAAGAAAATGTGTGATCACGAAATTGTAACTGCATCCCGCAGAGGGGAAAAATGCCTTTTAGGATATCTAACAATAACTTTTCCTACAACCAATACAGAACAACAGCAAACAAGAATAAAAACTTACCAACTGGAGTGTTAGCTGGGACTTTCTCCAACTCTTGGACAATATTAATATCCAGCAACTCAAAGGACAGCAGATCCTAATAAAAGAAAAAAGAAAAAGAAGAAGTATTTATAATTGTCTATTACCACATAATTACCTATTACACATTTGTAGCAGTGACAAGCTGTTTATTTTTAAACACACACCTGTGCAGTGAGCAGGTCCACAGAGGGAATGTAGTACTCTCTCTGACAGCTGGAGGACACCTGAGTCTCGCAGTCTCTGGAGCCAGACCAGCACATGCCTTCCATTCCTAACAGATTGGGTTTAGTCATCTGCATAACAAAGCAAAAAAAAAACCTTAAATATAACAGTGACAAAACACACATGAAACAAGCTCCAGAAAACATACACACACACACACACACACACACACACACACACACACAATGGATTTTCTAAAATTAAAATCTTCATGAAAATATGTAGTAGGACTCGAGGAGAATTCCACAAATTTTTCTAAATTAATTGAGAAATTAAATTAAATTTTTCAAAAATTACATGGTTACGATGTAAATGCAGTCAGTCAGATTTGTCACATCAGGTTTGATGCAAAATGCTGCATTCTAGGGAAACTGCTTGTTGCCAGAGACATTTTTTTTTTTTCTTTTTTCAAAAATTCATTTACTCATGGGAGGTACAGGTAGGGTGCTGTAAAGCAAGTCCGCAATGAATATTACTTCAAATATACCGCAATTGTTCCATTATCAACATACATAACACATAAAAATGTAAGTGTAAAAGTGTAAGTTCACTGCTGGATTGGATAGTGAATAAAATGCCTATACTGTGTTGTATACATTGCGACCCCTGGTTCCTATCACCACCACTGTAAAGAAGTCTTGAGTTGGTAAGTCTCTTTGCAATGAACTGTTTCACATCAAACCACTCTCAATGACTTCGTTTACATCTCAACCACTGAATTATGCAGAATTTTTGAAAAACTGGTGGAATTCCCCATTAGGTGCATTTTAGCAATGCAAAATATGGAAATGACGCATACTCTACTTTTAAGATCACTGATGAACGAGTGTGTTGTAAAATACTGGAAACACCTACTACAATATAGTGAATGTCCTTGAACAAAACTGGAGGAAAAAACATTGAGCACAGGTCACTGTTTTGTTAATCAGAAAAATATGCTGAATCTACTCACCAGTGATTTGCTGCAATGAGAACTGGGTTTCTGGCCTGAACTGGGCACCACAACAATGCTGCACCACACTCGTGGGCCAAACTGCACTCCGCAGTGTGCCAGACGCCAGTGGGAGGTGTAGGTGCCCTCCAGGATCGGCGCCACAAATGCAACACTCACCACGCCAACCTCTCCAGGCTTCAGGAAGGGCACTGCCACCTCCTTCTGCTCCCGCGACTCCAGGGCTAGGTTTCCCCACATGAACTTCAGCTACAGGGGGAAATACCCATGGCCCACACACAAACATAACAAGACAAGTAAAATCCACACAAAGACACGTGGACGCAGGTGCAAGCCTCTAATGTTATAGTGTAAAAAAGGACTAAGACCTCTCAAATTACAACAAAAAAAGACTACACTTCAACAAAATGTACATGCATATGTGGTTGTAATACCTTAGTCTCAGAGGTCCAGCTGATGTTGCCAGTATTCCTCATCTTCCAGTACTTGATGAACTTGGTGCCAGGCTCCAGACATGTGCCGTCTGGTAGATTCTCATCCAGAAACAAGGCAGTCATTGTGGGCACCAAGGTGGAGCAGGAGACCTTGGGACCCCTGGTTTGAGTGCACAGAGCATTGTGAGTACAGCTTTGATTCAGCTTCTGTCTTTCTCTTGAAGCTCAAAGCAAAAAAAACTTTTTTTAAAAAAGGCGCTATACAATAAAGGCAGCAGGTGCATTTGAGGTAGTTCCATCCACTTGCCAGCGATAAACGCAACTATAACAGACAATGAGATAATCTTGATAATGACTGTTCTGGGCTGGGTAGGTAGGTCACCCAGCCCTGACCCCTCTCACTATGGCCCTTACTCTGGACTGGAGGCCTGAGGGTCTGGGCCTGGAGCTGGAACTGGACCAGGAGCAGGGGCAGGAGCAGGAACAGAAGCAGGGCCAAGACCTGTGCTGCTAGTGCCATTGGTGGCTCCACTCCACAGCAGACCTCTCTTCTCCAGCCGCAGCTTTTTCTTGATCTCCTTCACCTCAGCTTTCAGCTGCCTCCGCTCAGCTTTCAGACGCTGTCTCTCAGCCTTACGCACAGTCCGATCCCCACGCCTTAAGAACCTAAAAGAACAACAAAGGAACAACATATTTCAGACACACATCTGATAGATCAAAATGAGTACAACAATACATTTATTTATTATTCTGGAGCAAATGAAGCACCACTAAGTTAGCTGATATCAGTTGCAAGAACTGTTCCAGACTGGACTTGCCTGGGCTCTGGAGTTACTCCACGCTCTGGAACAGACAGGGGGGTCCTTGTTCTTTTCAAGTTGTGGCTGGGGTCATGTTTGTGACTGCATGGCTCGCACAAGATGCAAGAGGGACACACACTGGACAGACAAAAATACAGACATACAACGCACATTTTTAGATAAATTAGTCAAATGAAAATGTGTTTAACATTTGAGTGATGTACAGGGTACCTGCAGGCCATTAAAAATCTGTGTTTAACAGATTCTCTACAAGGTGGAGCTAGAAGCACTTAAAGAGGATTCGAAAAACAAGAGCTGCCATGTAAAAATATTAGTCAGAACGCGGTCGTGTGGGTTTGGCTAAAGTAAAGAAGACTCATTCCTCCTTTATACAGGCAACACAACAGAGACCCGAGTCTTATTCTCTTATTCACAGCAGCAGAAAATTCTGCCCATTTCTCCAAACTGTAGCAGTTATTTTTTATTGTGACTGTTAGGGTCTTGTGACTAGGGTCTTGGTTTTATATATATATATATATATATATATATATATATATATATATATATATATATATATATATATATATATATATATATATATATACACACACAATGGTGTTGGGATTGAAGAATCCCAACACCAGCAAATTTGAAACACCAACCAAATGTTCGCTGTTTCAAATTCCATGTATGTGATATGAGATAAAAGTGTATTGGAAGTAAACAGTTTTGTTTAACTATATCTAGACTGAACAGCTAGGCAGACAGCAAACAAGCAAACAGGCAACTCCAAGAACATGCACTTAGGTTTTACTGAAGTATTCACTGTTAAACATGTAAAGAATATACCACTTAAATATCTGTTTCAAGCTTCAAATGTCCATGTTTAAGCAGAGCCGGTCTAAGCACGATTAAACCCTTTGTGGAAGGTGAACTTCCCATAGAAGTGCTACAATAAATTAGCAGTGCATAGCGGTGATAATCAATCTACATTAAAAGTAAAGATTTCTTCAGTAAACACTGCTGTATAAAAATAATATAAAAGAATCTGCAAACAGAAATTACAATGAGAACTCTGGAAAGACAGAGAAATCTTAAGATATTACCCTTACTCACCTGCAGTGATATCCTCCCCCAGTGGCTGGTCCCTTGCAGCTGCTGCAGTTAGGTGTCGGGTTCGAGGTCCTTGGTGTTGTAGAACTAACTGTAGCCATTTGCGCCCCGGAAGTGCTTGGCTCTTCTGAGGGATGGTCAGAGGCTCTGTGTGTGCAGCACTGGCCAGAAAACTCAGTACACATCCTGTCCACCACCTCCCTCACTACCTGATCTTTGAACTGTGGAAAGAGTTAAAGTTTTCATTCAGAGTGATAAAATGGGTAGTTCCAGTTCTACATTACAAAAGTCTGAACTATTGTAAAATACCTGATTTGCACACATGACCACGCACATCAACTGAATGCAATTTCGCATTCAAAAGATATTAAGACCCACTACGTTGTTCAAGGGTTAATCTTTGATTGTGATGTAGTCTACTATTAAATATCTACATTACTTCGTAGAAATTTCTGTGGTTATTAATAATACATTTATCACATAATTAATTAAATTTTGGCGCATTTTATCATAGTGTATTTTGTTCTTACTTAGTAACAGCAATAAACCACGACAGGTCATTTATTATGGTGATTTTATCAGAAATAAATATTTAAAAGTATCACTGGCAACACATTTGGGAGAGTATATTTAAGAGTACTCTTGGAAATTAAATAAGAACCACAGTGTACAATAGACTAAATAATGTGCACACATACTCTGTCCATGTAAGATTTGAACCATGCTGGTACAGCCTCCTCTTCACCTTTGGTCACTTTGTTTTCCTTCACAACCACCTACAGATAAAGAATAACAACCACTAAATAGTATAGTTTAAATTAAGGAAAGTGCTCATGAAAACAGTGTAAAATTGGTCAAATTAGGCTTCCGAGCACTTCAGCTTATCATACCCAACATCAAAGAAAAGTGCTATCTGTAAAAAATCATCAGGCCTTACCGAGTCCCGCTCGGGGGTCACCTGTGTCTCCTTGTCAGCCACTTTTACTCTTGCCCGATATGGCGGCGCTGGTCTGGGGTCAATTTTGATTTCCTTAACTTCTGCCTTAACAGCCCCGCCTTCAGCCTGGCCCTTCATCTTATAGACATTCATGTGAAGCTGGTTGGCTTGCTTGAATGCACTCTAACGGGGGCAATAAGATATAAACATTATTTTGTTTCAGGCATGTTATAATGTATTTGTTTCATTTCTAGCTCAATGACAAACAAAAATAATTAGAAACCGAGAAATTAAAGTCTTACAAAATCCTCACAGTTTAAAAACAGTTCTGGTATACCTAATGTATAACATTAAAGATGATGACGTTTTCTTACCTTTAAGGCCTCCATATATTCATCTGATGAAAAAAAGAAATGTGTGAAATGTGCATGTATTAAACATTTTTGGAAGCCATTTTGTAGCTATTTAAAGATCCCATACGTCACGTTTGTTAAACAGGATTAATAATTACCCAAGGAGACACAAAGTGGACATGTGACTTACCTTGACTGTTTATGGATATCTGTTAAATAAAGAGAAGGAAGTTCAGATACTGCGTACTTATGTCATTTTTCTTCTCTTTAAGTAATGACATGAAAACTACGACAAATTTAACAATCAAGAAAAAGGTGTTTTACGCTTAGCTGCTGTTGCTTACCTCTTCGTTGTCCTCGTCAAAATACTTCACTTGAAAATGGCATAATCCAAAAGTCGTTTTAATCTAAAGGCAATAAGAGAATCAGGGGAATGAGGCAAGAAGGGAAAACCGTCTGCACAAAGGTTTACAGCGAGAACTAAACCACATCCCGTCACTGCGAGAACAACCTCAGTCACTAACGTTACGACTCAGATTTAAACATGTCACCAGACAAGTGCGACCGAGGCCAGAGGACAATAACGGTACAGTCGCATTTGGCATGGCTAGCTAACATTTCGAGACTCTTAATAAACCTTAGACATTAAACATCGAGCAGTGACGATGTCTGGACACGAAGTTATCAGGCGAACGTCCTTCTGCCCGGGTTTGTTTATATGGGCCTGAGCCTCGGCCTTACCCAGGCCTCCACCGTCTCCCACTGCGCCTTCTCTGTCTCCACCACCGGGAACTTCTTCACGCTCCCGCGGAAATTCACTTTAACAGTGACTGGGTGATTCATCGTCTTTAGGCAGGACTAGACTGAAAAACGATCTCATGTAGGATAAAGACGCTGTGATTTAAGGTGACGACGCCAGCGTTATCTATATCCCTCTCTCTCTCTCTCTCTCTCTGTCTGTCTGCCCGTTCTTGTTTACATCGTTTAACTCGTACACTCCCCCACATCCACGTAACAGGAAGGCTCTCAGTCCTGTCTGCTTATATTTACCTCTGTCTGTCTTATACTTCGTTGTAAACTATTAGGATACCTGTTAACAATGTGGAAAGACTGCTATTATCGTATATGTAAAAATGTGTAATTATAATAGATATGTGAGGGGAAAAAACGGGTTGAGGTTTGCGCATGCGTACTTTTCTGTTGGTTCGGTCGCTGATTTTTGAACGTCATCCGAGAGCGCGCGAACACCTTGTGGCTGAGAGTCAGCAGTAAAAGCCACACGGTCAGTTAATGCTGTTAGGACAATCTGCGGCTTCTCACCCTCACTGATCCAGAAAGATGTCTTCGCTCTTAAAAGTGGACAGTGAAATTAAGTCAAAGGTGCGTGTATTTCAGTCGTTTTTCAGATCCGGTGTAGCGGTGGACCGTTAGGCCCCGTATTAGCGTGCGCTAGCTCTCGGTTTGGAGCCGGTGTAACGTTAGTGTCATTAGCCGCCAAGCAAGAGAGCAGGCTAACTTTCCCGCGCCATTGCCGAGAAGTTCTCTGTTTTCAGACCCTGTGCCACTTGTTTGCTTCCCCAAATTGTTGTCCGGGTGTTTTTCAGACGTCCTCGGCTTTTATTCGGTGTGTTTTAGCGCTCCGGTGAATTGGTGAGCTCTCCGCTGTGGCTGTGTTTTTCCAGCATGTGCTCTTCGCTCCGGCGCCGCGCAGTCGGTCTGCCGGCTTCATGCTGTTAGCTGGCTAACTGCTTAGCCTTACCGAGTCATACCTGTGCTTGTGTTTTCCCCCCCCTGTCAGCTTCGATGGCGTGTAACGAGACGAAAAGACAGAGGCTAACGAGGTCGACGATACTGCATGTAAACAAGCTAACTGATATTTACAGCCAGTGTTAGCTAGAAACAGAGCAACGCTGAGAATGTTATGAGTCACTTAGACCAGTTAGATGTTAATCTGCGTTACTGAAGACCACGAGTTCTGCCACAGCTAATATTACAAGCGTTTTTTAATCGATTGACGGCATTTTTTTTTACATGTATTAATTTTTTTTTTCTGCTACAGGTCGATGTCTTCAGAGAACGAATCACAGGAGAGGTGAGTTAAGTTAGTGTACTTGAGCATGAGAGTTACTTGTAAACACTTTGCTTGGTCCCCTCTGACGCTCATTTATTTATAATTTTAGGCAGAAGATCTGGTAGCAAATTTTTTCCCTAAGAAATTATTAGAACTGGACCAGTTTCTGAAGGTAAGATATTCTTTTGAAATGTAAATAAATGTTCATTTTCTATGTAATACTGTGGACCACATTTGTAACATTAATAGTTATGTACTGTTGTTATTTTTAAGCAGTCCTTACATTATCACTTAACTGCAGTCGTGACTGTAATATAATTTGCTTCAATTTTCAGGATCCCCTCATAAATATCCGTGAACTGAAAGAAATCCATTCAGAGATCAATCTGGCTGTGCCAGACCCAATTCTACTTACAGACATCCATGATGGGCTCGAAGGGGTAGGAGTTCCAGTTTCTAGGGTTTCATTCACTGTACTGAGCTTTTAGATATTAGAAACATTTGCATGAAAATTTGTATTTTTGAAACCTTTCTTAATTGGAGAGGTCAGTTTTCCATGTCACCGTTTATTAAATAAAAAAAAAATCAAACACAAAAACATTAGAGTAACACTTTCCAAGATGTAGTTTGTGGGTGAAATGTGCAAGAATTAACCACGATTCGTTCCATTAACAGCCAAATGCCAAAAAGAGAAAACTTGAGGATGGCCCAGAAGACGACAAAGGTGAGCTCTGCAGAGTGATAAAATGGCTGGACAAATGTCTGTTGTAATCACACTGTGTCGTCTTCTCATATGTAGTTGGTGGGACCAAGGTCTATGTCATGCCCGGTGGAATGATGAAAAGCAATGGCAAACTTGTAGACCTTATCGAGAGGGTTAAGCCTGAGATCAGAACCCTCATAGAGAAATGCAACACTGTAGGTCTATGTTTCCCTTAGAAGCAAACATTGTCACACTCAGTGCCGCTTGCTTACAGAACAATCTGTGCAATTTATGATGCTGTATTGTTTTTCTAGGTCAAGATGTGGGTACAGTTGTTAATTCCAAGAATAGAAGATGGCAATAATTTTGGAGTCTCTATCCAGGTACAATAGATTTTCATTAAATCATTTTAACCAGCATCTGGATTTACAGCGCGATAAAGCAGTAATAATATTGTCATTTGGTACAGTGGAAGGTCAAGTGTAGCTTATATAGCAACCAATTCAGTCATTTGTTGCATTTTTGTCATATAGAGGAGTGACACATTGTCACTAACTGATTAGCATTATAAATCCGAAAGTCTATTTTACAAAGTTTAAGGAACCATTGGTTCAAACTGACTGTCATCACCACCTACAGGAGGAGACCGTTGCTGAACTCAGAACAGTGGAGGGAGAGGCAGCATCTTATCTAGATCAGATATCCAGGTACTGCTCTTATCTTCATTTCATTTTGATTAGAACTGCACAGTGTTTGTGTTTGTCAACAGTTTTCAGCATCTGAAGTGGGCTGGATGAGAACATGCACAGGTGTTGCATTCATTTTTTTCATTTTTTAACTTTTCTACATCTAGACAGTTGCAAATGATGTTAGGTTTACAAATCATGCATATGTATTTGAATGCTGTGCTTCTGTAGGCTGTTAAGGGATGAAATGTATGTTTTCTAGGAGAGGTGTAACAAACACGGTCTCACTCAAAGTGAACAGGTTTATCATTTTTGTCCAAATTGTGCAAAAGTAGCTAGGATTCAACATAAATAATATTTTGCTGTTTTTCTCAAATGTACAGATATTATATCACGAGAGCAAAGCTGGTTTCCAAAGTAGCAAAATATCCACATGTGGTAAGTTGAATGTTCAATCTACATGCAAATCTTTATCTTTTCAGTATTCACTGGAAGAAATAGAATCACAGTCCTTTTTATACGTGGGCATTTTAAACCACCATAGGTTATTGGAAAATTGATAGCTTTGATATTTGTTGGTCAGCTGTGTGACACTGAATTGTTAGTTAATGGATAAGAAAGTACAACGAAGCTAAGTACATGTCTAGATGTGTTCTGTATATATGGAATTTACATCTGTTGTCTGTTGATCAATACAAGGACTGTTAGAAATGCTGGCCATCCTATAAAATTTCAAAATGAGGCTTGTCAAAACCAACTGTTTGTTACTAAGAAGCAAAAACTCACTGGTGAGTTTGGCAGTAGCATAGAACCTGACATTGGAAGATCACAGTAGTGCATGACCAAAGAATATTTTCTGTAAGAGGTTACAATTTTCTCTAAAGTACATGAAAAACCTGTACCATTCTGGGACAAAGATTGCCTGTACTGGAGTGCTGGAATGAGGAAGGTGTAGAGAGGAAAAAGGAACTGGGCCTTGAGTACATCTGTACTGTAGATTGTAGTGTTTTTCCAGCTCCCAAGACACTCCATGAGCTTTAAATGGGTGTATTGGTTGAAAAGATGCTTGAATTTGTAAAGGAAGGACTCTTCAGGGGCCTGTGTCATGAAGCACGAGCGTGAAATCATACTACATAATAATGAGAGTAGTAAAGCAAATGTAACAGCAAGAAACAACACTTCCACTGCTGCCATTATATTAAATGTCTGCTTTTTCACAATATAATTTTTTCCACATTTATGTGGTAAATCAGTAATCTGACTGGTCCAAGAGCCATTCACAAGCTGTAATCCTGAGCTTAGACAGAGTATCCAAAGTTAGAACAAAATAAGTTTAAAGTTAATTGACTAATCAAACTTCTGTGAGACAGGGAGGTGTATAAAATTGTGATAATTTTTGGATATTTTTGAATGTTCATGATGCACGGTAGATATGACTTTTTTTGTTTTTTGTTTTGTTTGTTTTAGTAAATTGGGTAGGACTAATAGTGAAAATTGATATTAAAAACAGTACCGTAATTTTATGCAGTGTATTACTAAATGTCTTATAAGGAACACTTCATAAAATTTAATTAAACAGGATTAATTGTGCTCTCTGTGTGATTAAACATACAGTTGGTCAGTGTTTAAGTTCTGATATCCACAATATGCTTAGAACAGCAAATTTACATAACTTATCTCTACCATCATATTGCCCACCCCTAACTGTAGGTCCAGAAAAAGGTTCTTGATTAGACAAGTAAGTTGCTAGCATGATCCTCACTAGACATGTAATTCACCTACTCAACACTGAAGGCAAAATTAAGAATAGCTGCATTGCAGGCCTGTTACAGCATCACAAGGGCTGATACCCAGGATGTGGTGATGTCTGTGGATTGCAGACTTAAAGGATTCATGAACAAGTATTGAACCATAATTTAATTTAAGCTTGTTCATTATTCCAATTACTTATGGTCTTCTGAAATGGCACCTGATTTTGTGTACAAAGGACTGTCATTCCTATCGGATTTCCGCTAATATAGATGTCAATACCCTCAAATTAAAGCTGACTTTCTACCCTTCAGCCTAATAGCCATTAGGCTGAAGGGCAAAATTTGGCTTTGGCTTGCAGATTGTACGCCTGCAGCATAAATTAATTTCCATGCATTGTGTCATTTTTAAGTGGTCTTTCTAAAAGATTGTTTTTGAATTCAACAGGAAGACTATCGACGCACAGTTACAGAGATTGATGAGAAAGAGTACATCAGTCTGAAGATCATAGTGTCGGAACTGAGAAATCAATATGTAGGTTTCCAGAGAAAAATCTGAGTTTGTTTTTGGTTTCTATATACATATATAAAGTAATATTTCCATGTAAGAAAAGATCGCCACATGCACCTTAGAGTTAAACGTGTAGCCCTTTAAACTTGCTTTTGGTTTTTTTTTTTGTTTTGTTTTTTTCCACAGGTAACTTTACATGACATGATTCTGAAGAACATTGAGAAGATAAAGCGGCCGAGGAGCAGCAATACAGACGCTCTCTACTAAGATCGCCCATCTTCTCATCTATAGCCCTTCTCTTTTCTCCATGGGTCTCGCTGGAACCTTGGACTGGTTCTAATGCAATCAAGAAACCGTTAAAACCAGGCCAAGACACACAAGCTCCGCCAGGCCTGGTGCAACATGCCGCTAATGATAGAACTGTAAAATATGGCCACATTTTTAAACCCTTTAAAAATCCGTATTGGTTTCCAGTGTTAATGAATGAAGACGGAGTCTTAAGAAGGTTGTCTCAGTTATTCTGTTTTTTCTTTTTTGTTTTTTTTTGTTTTGTTTTTTTTTAGTATTTTTGGTTTCCTTGCTATTTAATTAAAGGACGATCTTAACAATGGGTTTTCTTTTATCTTTCACAAAACCAAATGCAGTGTAGTGCTGTGTTGGAGGGTCTTAAGGCATTTTACGTGTTTTAGACTCTGGTGACTGATTTGAATGCAAGAGGTAGATATAGAAAGACTCATTTGTTGACTCAGTTTCTCTATTTGAGAAACTATCACGGTCTTATTGATGCTGTATTTTAATCAGTTGACTCTGTCCATCTAATATAAATGTAGTCTAAGATGAGAAGCTGTACTTGTGCATTTTTACATTCATTGACTTAGGAGTTATTTCACAGTAGTGAAATATACAAATATTTTTCTCTCGTCTTTTCATCTCCATTGATAGAACCACCGAGTTCCCAAAGCTTCTTATGGCTCTTATTTGTCGAGTTTGTTTTAAGAGTGATACATTTTGCTGAATAAAAAATGTTTTTTTTTTTCAATGTGTTGGAAGTAATGAATTCACTCACCCACTAATCCACTGCTGTTGGCAGCCCTTTATATCTAGCAAGTGATTTTCAGTCTTGTCTTCAAGGACCCCCTACAGAGTCCAGCTTTTTGCTGTACGTCTGTGTTGTGAGTTGGGTTGAAGCAAAACTGAACCACCTGGAGATCTTTAAGGACCGGTTTGAGAACCTCTATTAAAAGTTATGATCCTGAACTACACTTGTACATGAATAAGCAAGTAACCACTAGTCCTGTTAAAGTGGAAGAGCTTATATATAAGCCTTTCTGTTAAATTAAGGTGGGTTGTGGTCACCTGTGGTATACAGACACTAAAGGAGGTAATATGTTTATTCTTTGCCACTATTAAAGAAATTGGACACACATGTAGTAAATGGGTTCAAGATACAATTACAACATATAAGAGATAATCATTACAAATGAGTTAATGTTCTATATACAGTCATTACAATCTTACATGATGCTTTTTATTGTGGATTGAGCTGTCCACGTTATGGGCAGGTTGGCGCACTTCTGCTTATGACCAGCAGATGGCTCATTTATCAACACTATCACAGGGGTATACCACAAACAGAAATAAAAAACTTGGTTGATCACTACATTAGCTCCCATTAAACCACATTTCATAGTGCAGCAGTGCTCTTAATTTGGCAATTGTTCTATAAATATGTACTGATATATTGCTTGTTCATATTTTTAGAAGAGATATACCACAGTAGCCTACAGTGAAGTCAGTATATAACATTCTGTTCATAGATTTTATATACAGTGCAGTGCAAGTCAGAGATGACCCTTCATTTGATTAATTTCTAGTTAAAACGTCCCTGTGGTACAAATTAATTTTTCTAAAAATATCTCTATTAGATTAAATATAAGATGATCCACTTGCAAAAGAAAAGTAAAATCAAAGTAAAATAAGAGAAAAACAGCCGAACATTGGGTCCCTATAATTATTAAAAGATACATAGAAAATGGGACTCCTAACAACCATGCAAGACCTGGTAGACCACCAAAACTGTCCCCATCAGATAAACCGCACTTAAAGCTTTCATCTTTGAGAGAGAGGAGAAAATCAAACTCCACTCTTGCTTCAGATCTGAACCAATCCATAGGTGTTTCTGTCCATCCTTCCACTGTGAGAAGATAATTCAACACTATCAGCCTGAAAGGATGTCTAACTGTCAAGACGCTGTTACTGTGAAAAGGATATCGACAAAAAAGGAAGCACATCTGCAAATGAAACAAAGAAGGTGCTGATGCTGTCAGAAAAATAGACTGACCACCCCAGAGTCCAGACCTCAACATCACTCAACATGTTTGGGATTACACAAACATGGAAATTGCAACCAGCTTCTAAGAGTGAACCTAGAAAAATGTGGAAAAATATCCCTGTAGATTTCTTTGAAAAACCAAAAGCAAGACTCCTGACAAGTATAGAAGTTGTAATAAAGCCAACGAGTGGACACTTTAAATGCTGAATGTTGTGTTGTTGAAGCTTCTGTGTAATTTCCTGTTAAATTTATATTATCTGTTTTTTGTTTTTTTTTTTGACCCTGAAAACAGTTGTACTTAATGGCTGTTTTGACTGGAAATTAAATAAATGAAGGGTGTCTCTGACGTTTACACAGTACTGTATGTTATATATATTTGAAAATCATTAAAAAACAAAGTTTCCCAAGAACTAATAAACATTCATGTACCTCTATAAAAGTATTTTTGTATATTTTATATAAATCATTTCACTCTACTGTAAATAATTGTGTTAAATAAGTTGAATTAGTGAAGTAAATTTTATATTATTCACCATTTTGAAAAAAGTGATCTATTACAAATGAAAACTAAAAATATGAAAACAGTGGGAGCAGCACGTTACGTTACCCCTGTAGTTACACTTTTAGCCAGCAGGTGTCATTGTTGGGAAGAGTTTGGTACCACACAACAGCAAACTAACCTGCAAGTATACTTTTTTAAATAATCAGCATACTAGTCATGCTGTTTCTCTTTAGTTTATTGCTAATTAAACATGTAGTAAAAGTATATTGTCAAATAGTATGTGATAAACATTGGTTTGGTGTAAAATATGCCATATAATTCAGAAAGAGAGACTTAAAGATTGACTGGTGTCCATCTCTGACTACTGCTTGCTAAATTCCTAAAAGGACTGTATCATGAGCTTAAAGAATGTATGCAGGGTGCAAAAATTCTTTGGGTACGATGCCAATAATGCCATCCAGCTCCCCAACCCACCAGCCATGGATGTTATACTCCTAGAAAAGAGAAATACAGAGAGAATATGAGGATAAATGAAAGATTAGAATGTGCAGAGCATCTTGTGCAACTTTAAAATCTGCACAAAATAAATAATGATAAAGCACAGTTCAAATTTCTGAACATGCCCTTGATGTTATATAACAATGACGTGTTCTTCCCAAAGAATGGTTTAATTTCACACCAGTATGTCCTTTCTTTTTTGCTCCCTGTGTATTTTTTTTATCAACAGGAGCATGCTGCTTTAGTATAATAATATAATTCTATTGTTGAGTGCATTGTTTTCTGAATGCATATGACAATTAATCTTGAATTTAAAAACACTGTATAACCACACATGAAAATGGAATACACTGGAATATCTTATTGATATGTTACTAAATAGGAATTACAAAAATGATAAAATTACTAAAATGGAATATATGGTAATATATTTTCAGTGTGTACGAAAAAGATAACAAAATGCAGGCCTTTTCTGTGACATACTCTACATTCCGTATATTATCTGTTATTTCCTCAGCTGTGCACATATTCATAGGGAGATATATAAATGTACAGATTTAATTCAGTATGCTAGTCCTGTGGAACTTCTCGGCTTTCAAATAATTAGTAGGAAGCTGTAAAGAGAAATGAAGTCATTTTAGATCTGTCTACAATGATGACTGGAGATGTAGAAGATTCTAACATGGCTGAGATGCATCAAGAATGAAGTTATAATATATTTAAATGAAAATTCCATTGATTTTTCTGAGAAATTCTGCATGATTCAGTGGTTGAAATGTGAACAAACTCTTTCAAAGTGGATTGATGTGAAATGGCACATTGTAGAGAAACAAATTAACTCAGGGGTCACAATATCTACAACGCAAACATATTTTATGCACTATTCAAAACAACCAGCAAATCTACATTGTCTTCTGACTTTTTATATATAGTGCTGATAACTGAAAAATAGTATAAATCAGTTTTCCTTGGGGACAATCTTGCCTAAAATATGTACCCCTCCACCGTGAATATCTTTTAAAAATCCGTTATGGGCCAAAGGTTGATATCAAAACTTTTGTGAAATGATGTCTCAGGCATCAGAAAACGTATTTGTAACCATTTAATTTTATAATATTCTGTGAAGGAGCTTTCAGAGACAGAGTTCCTGTCACCACCACTCTGAAGAATTCTGCCTCAGTACGTTTCTACAGAATGACACATTTCACATCAAATGACTCTGAATGATGGTTCATATTTTATTCACTGAAAATCACAGAAAAATCAAGATTAAATCTTTAGGTAGATAACAAAAATATAGTAAATAAATAATTCTAATATAGAACACACACACACACACACACACACACACACACACACACACACACACATATATATATATATATATATAGGTACCTAACACTCATTCTGTATCTATTATATTACTATAAATTATTTTGTGTATATTTTCTTCTGTTATTATTGGAATTTATGTTGACACCAACATTGACAGAAACCCCTTAAACCTCTCGTACATCTTCTACTTTACAAATAAAAGATTCTGATTCTCTTTTCATAACAAATTGTCATGGAGACACAGGTATTTTGCATCAGTGCATTAATGCAAGTAGAAAAGTGTACACGAACAGGTACGGACATTTTAAGGTAGAGTCAGAAGCACTTCAGCTGGATGGCCTTGACACTTCCTTTGAACAGGTCCTGATCAAAGCAGACCTGTTCCCTAATTAGTTTTGGCTTGAAAGTCCTCATTACTCCAGCTAGGCAATCTCTGTTCACTCCGGTTATCAATCAGACAGCAGCCGGGCGATGGCCCTGGCACTTACGGGCAACTAGTGGAGAGAGCCCCGGACCTGGCCTTTGACAAATGGACACGGGGCAGGGTGGTATTATCAACGAGATGGCCGGAGAACGCTGAGATGGAGTGATGGAGAGAAACTGAAGTGTTCAAAGTGTGTTAGTATTCCACAAGCACACACAAGTACATTTAGATGTGATGAGCCTGTCATCCATCCAGTGCCTGCAGAAGAAGAGAGTGGGAACTAATTACCATCTCCTCACGCACAGCGCTACGAGCCTAATGTAGTCTTCAGCCCATGCAGACGAGCTGCTCTAATGATGCCATGAGGAATGAATTCCAAGTGGGGTAAGAATCTAATGGGGCTGCCAGCATCCACACTGCCATTACATGTCAGACTTTGGTGAACTTGAAGGTTCGTTTCAGAGCCTCTGTCCAGTGTTGATTGAGTGACAGAGAGGGACAGTACACTCTTAAAAATAAAGGTTCTTAAATTGGTCTTATCTTGGAGGCACGGTTCTAGGAAAACCTTTGGCTAAAATGTAACCTTTTGGCTCTTTTACGTTGGACACGCACACTTACAAATCTCGTTCTCAACTACAAAAACGTTTTTTTAGAGAGCCATCCATTGCAAAGTAGAAAACCAAAATTGATTCTCTACTTATAATCAACTTATCTTTACACTTCTTCTATAGCAGTGGTCACTAACTGTCCTCCTGGAGATCTACTTTTCAGCAGAGTTTAGTTCCAACCTGTAACATGCTGCTCCCTCCATTATGCAGCACTACTGCATCTGATCCAGCCAATCAAAGACTTCTGAAGAAATTAATTAGGTGGAGCAGGTGGAGCCAATTGGGGTTGGAACTAGACTCCACAGGAAGGTAGACCTCATGGCCCAATTTTGGTGACCACTTTTCTATAGCATTATTCCAAAGTACTCTTTTATAAGTCAAAGTTTTATTTATCATATATACAATCTGCCGAGGACTTCTGTCCATTAAAATTATTGTGATGAATTTCTCTCTACAGCTGTGCAATACAATATATGCACAGAGAAAAGGAAAATATACATAGATCTATTTATACAAAACTGTACTAAAACAGACTAAACATCTGGTTAATTAACAGGAATATGTGCAGTTTCATTATGAACTGTATGTAATTTAAATGAATGACCATTTGGGCACTTTCTGTTAGAGTTAAAAGAGGACAACAAACAGCCCCTCCCTGAGGAACTACTTTGACATTATTCTATGTATTGGTCTGATAATTTAAGTTTATCCAAATCAATTTCACCATGTCCTTCTGTAATATTTATATACCATTCAAACACAGGTCTAAATTACGCTTCACCTTAATGATTTAAATGGATGCAAAACCAAAGCAAACCTCCCATTAAGGAGGAACTAAACATTTAAACTGAGTCACCTACACATGGTGCATTCTCATGACAGCTGTCCCTTCTCATTTGCTCCATTCCTACTTCCCTCTTTATTGTGTTTCTTTTGTTTTTCTCTTGGAAATAGTACATATTCGACAAATACACATTAGAGAGTAAGTGGTTTTAGATGATGGGCCGATGAGCCCAACTGAATGTAGCTTTTGCCAGGCAGTCTCAGTCATTTTTAATTATTATTTTTTTACAGCATTTGAAACTGTAAACTGCCTTTTTAAGTCACAATAACACATGTTAAGTTGATCCCTTGATCCCTAGATTTATTATTCCACTGTGGAACCCTCAGGATTTCTTACAAATAAAAAATAAACATCTGTAATTTTAAGTTCATTTTAATTGAACAGAATCATCAGGCTAATTGCATTTAAAGCATGTAAGTGTTGTATTAATACTCTATGTCATTGTTAAGTTTTGGTTGGAAACAGAAGGTTAAATTACCTGACACCCAATGTAATATTGTCTAATCAGGATTGTTTTCCCCTGTAATATCTATGTAGATACAGTCAAGCAAGCTCTCCTGTTGGTTAGGCTCTCAGGGACTTAGCTTAGCACTATCATACTCTTAGAAGTGCCACAGGAGCACAAGCAAAACTTCACATTAGTGTAGATGTGGGGTTTTTAACATTTATCGTGTGAACTGAAGGTGTAGCTCCAATAGTCCCGTCTCAACACTGTATTATTCAGATATTAATCTTAAGGCTTTTATTTAGTAATTGCACTTTTAAAAATAAAGGTTGCAGGTTTTCCTTCCAAGAAAGCAGAAGCTCACATGATCAATGATGTTTGGCCAACTGATTAAACAAGTGGAGTCAGGCATGCTCCTGCTTAATTGGAATGAAAATCCTGGACCCACATTGTTGCTTTGCAACCACATTTGGTTCATTAAAGAACATTTCAGTGGATGGCTCTTTAGAGAACTGTTTTTGTAAATGAGATGTGTGAGTGTGAAGAATATTTTAAAAGTTTAAAGAACTTTCACATGATGTAAAGGTTCTAGGAAGCACACATTCTGTGATGGTTCTTTAACTCCTTAAGTGCCTGTTTGTGGAAACATGTGAATCATAGTAAAGCATTCTTTGAGTGATGCTATAGAAGAACCACTTTTGGTTCCCTAAGAAACCATGTTTGTAAATTAGATGTGTGAATGTGGAGAACCTTTTAAAGGTTTATGAAAGTTTCTCCCACATCTGGTTTTCTTATGGCAGTGACACTTTTTAATAATGGTATTGATAATGATGCTGTTGCTATTCAATACCAGATTCATTCCACCAGAGATCATGAATTCCAGTTAAGGATCATTGCTGCATCTTTCACAGCCTCTTCTTTCGCTGAAAGCATCAGTACAGGTGTATTCCACAGCAACCTGTGTGTGTGTGCGTGCAGATGCTGATGGAGGCTGTAAAGTGTGTGTGTGTCACTGAGGCTGAGCTGTGTGACTGGAGCATTTCAGCGTTGCCGCTGACCTCCGTATGACTCCTCTTTTGGAGACGGGTGGGGTTGGCACAGAGCGAGACCGAGAGTGTGTGTTGCCATGACAACACCTGCAGTCTGCAGCGTGCCACTGGTATCATTTATTTCTCACTCAGGGGGGCTGGCTAGCGCCGGTATTCAAATGGGCCCCATCACTCTGGAGCGGCCGGGGGGACAGACTGGCAGCTAATGATGCCTTCAAAAAGGAGCGGCTTAACTGGAAAATGTCATATGGCACATGACAGGGTGAGGAGTGGCTCATGTCTATAAAAAAA